TGGGAGCTTGTTCCTCTTCCTCTTGGCAAAAAGGTTGTAGGTTGTAGGTGGGTTTATATAGTTAAAGTTGATAATAATGGTAAAGTGCATCGTCTTAAAGCTCGTTTAGTAGCTAAAGGCTACACTAAAATTTACGGCCTCGACTATCGTGATACCTTCTCTCCAATAGCTAAGATTTCCACTATTCATCTTTTCCTTGCTATTGCTACAATTCGTCATTGGCCCTTCACCAACTCGGACATTAAAAATTCCCTTCTTCATGGTGACATTGAGGAAGAGATTTATATGGAGCAACCTCTTGGCTTTGTTGCTCGGGGGAGTCCGGTTTAGTGTGCAAGTTACAACGATCTCTTTATGGCTTGAAGCAATTACCACTGAGCTTGGTTTGGAAAATTCAGTCATTTTGTGCGGTTGTTTGGCATGAAAAGGAGTGAAGCGAGACCACTCAGTGTTTTATTATCATTCCTCTTCGAGCAAGTATGTGTATCTTGTGGTTTATGTTGATAATATTGTTATTACAAGCAATGATTATACTAAGATCATCCAACTAAAGAATCATCTCGTTTGCTCACTTCCAAACCAAAGATCTTGGTCAATTGAAATATTTTCTTGGTATTGAAGTGGCCCGAGTCAAAGGAAGGTGTGATCATCTCTCAAAGGAAGTATGCTCTTGATATTTTGAAAGAGACTAGTCTAACAAATTGTAAGCCCATTGATACCCTAATGGACCCTAACCGAGAAATTGATGAAGAATGAAGGAGAAAAGTTGTCAGATCCATAAAGATATAAGAGGTTGGTTGATAAACTCATTTATCTTACTATTACCAAACCGGATCTTTCTTATGTAGTTGGAGTAGTTAGCCAATTCATGCAAAATCCTTGTGTTGATCACTGGGATGCCTTGATTTGCGTTCTGAGATATATTAAAGGGGCCCCAGGACAAGGGTTGTTATATGAAAATAAAAGTAATACTCAAATTCTTGGTTATTGTGATGCAAACTAGGTTGGTTGTCCAATTGATAGAAGATCAACTACTGGGTATTGATTCTCTATTGGAGGAAATTTGATTTCTTAGAAGAGTAAAAAGCAAAGTGTTGTTGCTCGATCTAGTGCAGAAACTGAGTATAGATCTATGATACTTGCTACATGTGAACTTGTGTAGATCAAACAACTACTTCAAGATTTAAAATTTTGTGATATTGGACAAATAAAGTGGTGCGACAATGCATATTGCCTCCAACCCAGTTTTTTTATGAAAGAACAAAGCATATTGAGATTGATTGTCATTTTGTTATAGAAAAGTTGTTGTCTAAGGAACTTGTAACTAAATTTGTAAACTCCAATGAGCAACTAGCATATATTTTAACTAAATCCTTAAGAGGACCTAGGATTCAATTCATTTATTCTAAACTTGATACATACAATTTGTATGTTCCAGCTTAAGGGGAGTGTTGAGATATGTTGTTTATGTATCTTTTAGTATTCTTTTTTAATGTTCCTTGGACTAGGGTTAAGGGTTTGGTCTAAGGCCCATATCCTCTTTATTTACCCTTTTTTTTCTATAAATACAATGTATCAATGACTTTGGTCACTGTATCAAACCCTAAATAAGTTTTCTCAAGTGAGATAAAAAAAATAGAACAATTATGGAGATGGCAAGATGTTTGATTGTAGAAAAAAAAACTATCAAAAAACTTTTTGGCTAAAGCTGTTTTTACAGCTGCGTATCTCTTGAATAGGCTACCCACAAAAGTTGTTCAAGAGAAAACACCAATTGAAGCTTAGATGGTATTGGAGCCCACTGCAAAACACTTGAAGATTTTTAGATCAATTTGCTATGTTCATGTTACAGCAGCTAAAAGATCAAAATTGGATGACAAAGCAAAAATGGGAATTTTCCTAGGCTATGCTACAAGCTCCAAAGGTTATAGAGTGTATAATCTTAAGTCAAAACAAATTGTGATCAGCAAGGGTGTTCAATTTGATGAAAATGCATATTGGGAAAATAATCAAATTCAAAGAAATATGAAAACTGAACAAGAGTAGGCTAAAGAAAGATGAAAGTCAAATTGCTGAATCGGATTCTCCGGTGCTCAAAACCAAGTATTTGGCTAAAAGTTCTGAAAAGTGTAGTTTTGTGATCAATGGACCTTGTTTTGAAGAAGTTTTAATACAAACAAAATGAAATAATGCAATGAAGGAAAAATTGGCTATGATTAACAAATGTAGTACTTGGGAACTCATTTGAAGGCCCAATAACAAACATATGTTTGGTGTAAAATGGGTTACAGAACAAAGTTACATCCTGATGATTCTATTCACAAACATAAAGCTAAAGTTGTTGTGAAGGGATATTCTTCAATGGTTGGAATTGATTATGTTGATACACTTGCACCTGTTGTTAGGCATGAAACAAGTAGATTAATTGTTGTTTTATCAACTCAATATGAATGGAAAATCTTTCACTTGAACGTGAAATCAACATTCTTAAATGGTGTTTTGGAAAAAGAAATTTATGTTAAACAACTTGTTAGTTCCATTGTTGTTGGTGATGAAGATAAAGTTTATAAGCTTCAAAAAGCCTTATACGGGCTAAAAACAAGTTTCAAGGGCTTGGTACAACAGAATTGACTCACTTTTTGCAAAATAATTTTAAGAAGAATCAAAATGAGCCTACTCTTTATGTGAAAAACTGCCGCAATGGGAAGAAAATTATTGTCTCACTTTATGTGAATGATTTGCTAATTACAAGTGATGATATTGATGAAATTGACAACTTTAAAAAGGAGCACGTTGCAGGTTTTGAAATAACTGATCTTTGGAGTGATGAGGTATTTTTTAAGAATGAACGTGCATCACTTTGATGATGAAATATTTCTCTCACAAAAAGTATGCAAATGACTTGCTGAAAAAATTCAAATTGGAAAATTGTAATCCTGTTTCAACTCCTCTTGCTATAAATGAGAAGTTGTTCAAGAATAATGGTAATGGGAAGGCTGATGTAACTCAATATAGAAGCTTGGTTGGCTTCCTTCTTTACTAGACTTCAATTAGACTAGATTTGATATTCTCTACTAGTTTGCTTTCAAGGTTCATGTACTCCCCAAGTTTGACACACTTTGGTGTAGGCAAAAGAGTGTTGAGATATTTGAAAGATATAGTTGATTTGGTATTTGGTATTGCAAAGGAGATGAAGGCTTGAAGGTTATGTTGATAGTGATTGGACTGGTTCTAAAAATGATTCAAAGAGTACAACTAAGTATGTTTTTTCACTAGGTATGATTCAAAACGTAGTTGTTCAATCCTTAGCTAAAACAGAGTATATTACTGCAGCAGCTACTTTAAATGAAGCTCTATGGATCAAGAAAGTTTTGAATGACTTAAATCACATGTAAAAGGAAACTACTGTTTTATGGTGTGGCTGCAATTCAGCCATATCTATTGCTAAAAATCCAATTCAATATGGAAGAACCAAACATATCAATGTTAAGTTTCATGCTATTAGAGAAGCTGAGAAGAATGAAGATGTTCAATTGCTACATTGCAGGGCTGAAGAGCAAATTGCTGACATTTTAACCAAAGCACTTCCATGTGCTAAGTTTAATGATCTAAGAATATGGGCCTCTTCAAGAAAATTTTTAAGGAGGCGTGTTAAATGAATGGGCTATAAAACTTTTGTTTTTACTATAGCTATCATGTTTACTTATTTTAGTCGTTTGCATAAGTATTATTGGTCAGTCATAGAGTTTACCCTGATTTTAGACGAATTTGTACTCCAAATATAGTGGGTATAGGATATTTTGTTGATAGCAAGCATGAGTCTAATGATGACAGTAAGTGAAAAACAATATGATTCAACAGCAAATACGAAAATAGCTCTATTTCCCCTTATCATTTCTCTATTCATGTAATGGTTCTATTTTATGTTTTTATGGTTAAAGTTATCTTCATTTAACACCAACAAATCCAAGTTTTAAGAGCCTAAGATCAAAATATTCTTCTGAACTTACACTTTTTGTGTGGAGAGCTTAAATGCATGATCTGCTGAACACGAACTCAATTTGGTGAGTTAAGGGAAGGTTTGTTAGGAAAGTTTGTGTATCAGTGAAATAGGCCAAATTCTGTGACCTGGACTAGCTAACATTTAAGTGGGGAGCAACATCATTTTCCTGAAAAAGAAAACATAAGACAAAGCGTACCTGAAGCCAGGATATCCCATTTGATCTCTTTCTCTAAGTGACTTAATCTCTCATTGAACATCATTCCCACCTCAAACCCTAGTGCAACATTAGTACCACTTCATCTGGAAATTGTGTTGCTGGGTAGCCTGGGTTTAATTGGCTAATCTCAGTTGTGGCTGAACTCTTCTCTCCTACAATCTGGGTGAGAGCTAGCTGGTTTGTTTTTTCTTCAGTATTTGATGTTTCTACATTATGTCATTGCTGGTTTGGTCGTGTAAATGTGCCCCTGCTTTAGAGATTTGATGCAGTTTAGGTTTTCACTGTGATTAAACTCTAGTTTTCGGGCATGAAAATGTCAGCTTGGGGCTGGTGGTACCGTGAAAATGTCCTTTTGTGTCTATTTTGCCTATTAATGTTACCTTGTATGCTAGCATATTGGTTTGTACTTTGAATATGATTTTGTATTTTAGGTCAGATATTACAATCCATGTTCCAATTACATGTTTTACACGTCTTCCTTGAGTGACATAAACCCAGTTATTTTCCATTTGTCCATCAAATCCATACACAAATAAAAACAAATTTCCACGCTGCGTCAAAACCTCTCAATCTGACTTTGTATCATTATCATTGTACAACCAATTAATAAATGCAGCGCATTCCAAACTCTCGCATGCTTCTTGATCTATAGTTATGTGAATATTGCATGCATTACATGTACTTAAACCCAGTAATTGAATTTTTAATATAAAATTCCTCTGGCACTGTTATACAGACTGAATTATGTGAAAGCGTGGAAAAAATTTTGTATTTTGCACTCTAAACCCTAGAGTCTAAACAAGAAAGAAATGAAATTGGGCAGTAGAGTAGCGTACAGGCGACGAAGGTGTCACGCAAAGCAGCCTGCAAGGGGTCCAACGGCGGGGGCCGGGCCTCGAAGGCCTTGAGGAGTTTTCTGACCTTGAGATTGAGGGCGGCGTAGTGGCAGCGGTCGCCGTCAAAGGTATGTTCGGAGCAGATGGCACCATTCTCGAGGAGCATGCGAGCCGCCTCGAGGTGGCCGACGAGGCAGGCGTAGTAAAGCGCCACCGAGTCCCATTGATCCCGCGCGTTCACGTTCACGCCTGCCTCCAGTAGGTACTGGAGCCGGTCCACATCACCAGCGCGGGACGCCTCAAATATGTCGCCGTACGGCACCTTCTTTACTGGCACCGACGTCTCCACCTCGTCAACCATCATTTTTGTGAGTCAACTCAACTCAACAGCAGGATGGATGCTCGCTTAGCCCTGCTCTCCTCACTGTTCCACCATAACCAAAGAAGAAGAAAGGCTTTTATTTTTTAGTTATGAGTAAATTAAATTAAGACATTTTTTTTCTAATTACATTATTATATATGTATTCCATTGTTTTTTTTTATACCATATTATATTCATTAGTATCACCATCAGTTGAATCCACGTATTTTAAAATAATATATATATATATATATATATATATATATATATATATATATATATATAATATCATTTCTAGCTCCAGCGTATATTAAAGTAGAAGCATAAGAGGAGAAAATAAATATAGTTATTATAAACATGAAATTTCTTACAAAGTTTAAAAGGAAAAAGAAAAGTTAGAAACTTAGATGATGAAGGAGTTGGTTGAGGAATGTAGAATTTATAGTTTGAGGAGAGTTGTAAATGTTATTTCAACAACTGACTTTTTATAGGCGATAAATGTTTCACTATTCAAGATTACAACTAACACACTCTAGACAGGAGTAGCTGACAAAGAAAATAATTACAATTGACATGCCTTTAGTTTTAGTAGTCGACGCTAAAAACAAAATAGAATAATTATAAGTGCTTTATTTTTCAACTAAGTGGGACCCAAGCATCTTTTGGGCGAAGGACTAGATAAGTCCAACTACTTACTTGAATACTCTATTTTGAGGTGTGGAACCATTGCATCTTTTGAGCAAAGGGTCAAATAAGTCCAGCTTCTTACTAAGATATTATTTAGAAGGTGGACTCGTGAAGATCCGCTTCTTCTAATTTTCTCATAATTTGATTAATCTTTCTTTGTAATTTTTCTTTGGTTGATGTTCGTTGCATAATATCAGTAATCTTCTTCTTTAATTCTTCTGGAGTTGATTGCTAAAATTGAGCAAAATCAATATCTTCTTCGTCTTTATAAGGATCTTGAGTATCTTGTAGGTTGGTAATGACTTCGCTTTCTTTTTCTTCTTCATCATCTGAACTTAGTGAGGACAATACTTTAAGCATTTTCTGTTTTAATTAGGTCTCTTTCTTCTTTTGATACGGGAAGTTTGGATAAATCTATAATGACTTTTCCTTTTTTTTTTTGGATGAAATTTCTTTTTAGATTGAGCATTTTTGTGTAATAAAGCTCATTTTCTTCCAATTTTCGAATTTTTCTTCTATATATTGGGTTTCAAATTTTTTTCCACCAAAAACCTTAATTTTTAAGAAGAGAGTTGTTAGAACTTGCGCGCAGTGAAATGTTTGCGATCTATGGACAAAACCAAGAGGGGGGTGAATTGGTTTCAAAAAAAATTAGGGTTTTCAAATTTTTACCAAATTTCACCGATTAAAATACTTGTAAAGTAAAGAGCGAAAGGATAAGAAGATTACACAAGTGTTTTATACTTGGTTCGGATCAAAAGACCCTACGTCTAGTTGTTAATCACTCTAAAAAAGGATTAACATTGTCACTATAATTACAGTTCAAACAGATTATAAATACAAAGATAAAAATTAGAAAACATCTCTCTTGAGTCACACAAGAGATGAGCACCTCCTTTGAATCCACAAAGGATGAACAACAGATTTTCCTAGAGACCGCACAACACACAATCCACTAAGAGTCTCACTCAGTGATTCTTATCGCTTCTAGCCCACACTAGGTTTCAAAAGTACCTTTTTTTTCCTACACAAAGTTCTCTAGCAATCACAGCTCTTAACTTTTGTATGCAAAAGGTTTGTTATGTTGCAGAGAGTCTTAAAGAACCTTAAGTAGAGAGATTTAGGGTCTGGGGAATAGAAGTTTTCGAAAATAGAAGTATTGGAAATAAGTGTTTCAAAAATTGGACCAGAATTCGAAATTCAAAATCATAATAGACATAGATAATCAATTATCTTAAGTGATAATCGATTATCACAGAGCAATTTTCGCAGAGGAGTAAATAGGACCAGAATAATCGATTATCCTCTGAGATAATCGATTATTCCAGCAAGCTTTTCAGAAAACATGTTTCAATGCAGGATAATCGATTATTCGATTATCACATAGTGGTTTTTGATAAAATTGAACTTTTAGAGGATGAACTATGTATGACTATCTTGGACTCTAATTTTATAGACTCAAAAAGATAAAATAAAGTTATTACAAGTAAATACAAATGATTATAAGTGTTCAAGTCTTTAAGTCTTTTGCTCTAGAATCATTATCAAAATCTTCGGGCATCATACTCATGTATAATCAACAAGAGTTTTAGGGTAGGTTTCTTTTTTTATTGATGGATATTTGGAATGTGGACCAAAAGCCAGTTTATTCCCATAGTTGAGCAAAATTTTATAATTCTTAGGTGTGGAGGGTAATGGGGAGTAAGACTTTTATATTTTTGGTACATTTTCATAATTTTTTCTAGAATTATGGATTGCAATGGGCCTATTTGGTGAAACCAATTAACAAACGAATTGGGTAGGGTGTTGGGTACTTCTTTTTTAAAACAGATATACCATGAATGCATAAGGTTGGTATCAAATAGTATTTTATTCCAGGCTTCTTGGTAATCAAAATAATTATAGGAAGGGGGGCCAAAGGACCTCGAAAAGCTCTTATCAGTGAAAGGGTGTTGGTTACATTCTTGGTATGAAAGGATTTTAATAATACGTAATTTTGAGTAACTAATAATAGAGGGATCTCTATATTAGGAATGGGGGTTATTTCTGCAGATCCAGTGTCTATTAGGATAAATTGGTAAAACTTTTTATTCTTTTTCAAATTTTCTGATTTAGGAATTCAACTTCATCCTGGTGGAGCTAATTTCCTAAGTATTTCATAAACATCTTCGGGATTCCAGTCTTCTTCTAAAGTGATAATCTTTTGGCATCCTTCTTTGATATGAAAATCCTTTTTAGGAGTTTTTTCAGGGGGAGGATGTTGAGGGATTTGTGGTGTTAGAGGGGTAAATCTATTAGGTTGAGTGGTTATTGTAGTGGGAAGTTTTCTAGTGGTCATGGTTTTTTAATATGATGGGGCAAAGTCGTCTAAGAACAAGGTAGAGGACTTTGGACCTTTTTCTGTTTTACTTTTTTCAGCCGAGGTTGGGCTTTTAGAGGGGATTGCCATAGGTGTGGCTCTGCAAAAATTCTCTTGTTAGGAAATCAGGTATCGAATTTTATTTTCCTTTAATAAATTCTATTTCAAATTCAAAACAGGATAATAGACTTTGTCATCTTGCAAATATTTGTTTGGAAACTATGTTCTTTACGTCTTTTCCTAAAACTTCTTTTGCAGTTTTACAATCAATTCTTAATAAAAAAAAATTGTTTATTAAATCATGTTGAAATTTTTGTATATTTAAGACTATACTTAAAACTTCTTTTTTGATCGTGTTGTAATTCTTTTGAGCATCATTCCATATTCCTCGAGTGATATCTTACTATTTGTTCGGGGTTATTTTTTAACTTTTGTTTTACTATACCCCTGTATCCTACATCAAAGGCATCTGTTTCTATAATTATCTTGGCTTCTGGGTTTGATATTCCTAGACATGGTAAGGACTGAACCAATCCTTTAACCTCTATTACTATTTTAGTCATCTCTAGAGTCCATGGTTTGAGATTTTTTCTTAGTCTATTAAAGATGGGTTTACATAATATCCTGATGTTAGGTATAAATTTTGATACATAGTTTAGACACCCTAAAAATCTTTGTAATTGAAGTTTATCTTTTATTTTATTAGGAAATTGTTATGAGAATTTAATACTTCGTTTAATGGGGGTTATAGTTCCTCGATTTATTTCATGGCCTAAAAGTCTTATTTGTGTTTGGGATAGTTTTATTTTCTTTTGTGATATTACTATTCCATTTTCTTTTATGACATTTTTAAATATTCTTAAATGTTTTTTATGTTGTTCGATTGATTCAGAAAATATTAAGACATCATCAATATAGACAATGACAAATTTTGAGTAAGGGTTTAATATGTCATTCATTATTTTTTGAAATTCAGAAGACGCGTTTTTTAAGCCCATGGACATTACATTCCACTCATATTGCCCGAAGGGTACTATGAAGGCAGTTTTATATTTGTCTTATTCTTTTAATTTAATTTGATAGTATCCATTTTTCATATCAAATTTGGAAAATATAATGGCACCAAATAGGACTAGTCCAATCCATAATTCCAACAAATAATTATGAAAATGTACTAAAAATATAAAAGTCTTACTCCCCATTACCCTCCACACCTAAGAATTATAAAATTTTGCTCAACTATGGGAATAAGCTAGCTTTTGGCCCACATTCCCGAAATCCATCAACACAAAGAAGAAACCTACCCTAAAACTTTCTGCTTAAAAACTAAGGTTTTTTGGTGAAAAAATTTTAAAACCCAATACGTAAAAGAAAAATTCAAAAATTGGAAGAAAATGAGCCTTATTACACAAAAAAGCCCAATACAAAAAGAAATTTCATCCATAAAAGAAAAAGGAAACGTCATTATAGATTTATCCAAACTTCCCGTATCAAAAGAAGAAAAGGCCCAATAAAAACAAAAAATACTTGAAGTATTGTCCTCACTAGGTTTAGATGAAGAAGAAGAAAACGAAAGCGAAGCCATTATCAACCTATAAGATGCTCAAGATCCTTATGAAGACGAAGAAGATATTGATTTTGCTCAATTTTAGCAATCAACTCCAGAAGAATTAAAGAAGAAGATTACTGATATTATGCAACGAACATCAACCAAAGAAAAATTACAAAGAAAGATTAATCAAATTATGAGAAAATTAGAAGAAGTGGATCTTCACGAGCCCACCTTCTAAACAACATCTTAGTAAGAAGATGGGCTTATTTAGCCCTTCGCCCAACGAGATGCTATGGTCCCACACCTCGGAATAGAGTATCCAAGTAAGCAGTTAGACTTATCTGGTCCTTCGCCCAAAAAATGCTTGGGCCCCACCCAGTTGAAAAACAAAACACTTATAATTAT